AAAATAGAGATATATAAACTGAAGAGGGTACATATATATATATATATATATATATATATATATATAGATAGATAGATAGATAGATAGATAGATAGATAGATACTGATGGGCGGAAATATTGCTTCGATAGTCAACTGTACGGATAAACAGAAATTATCATAGACTAATCGAAAATTACATATGAGATGAAATCCGGAGTGCGATCAATATTTGAACCGATATAAATGGAAAATACTGGGAACCTTTGAATCCTCAAGATTTACAGTTGAAATTCACAGAAATGAAGCGGTTATCTAAATTTGTTTTGCTTTGCACAAGCAAAAATCATTCGCTGACATTGATTCGAAATTCATTAAATTCTTGAAGGCGCCGCTAAAAACGTATTAGTTTCCCGAGACACTCTTAAAACTTTACGTGAAAAGGGCAACATGATTAACATTGTTACAAACAAACCTAGTCATTGGAGTAAGTAGGACAGTTTAAGCAAATGGTTCAGATAAACGAATTAAAAAAAGGCTGTGACGCCAGAGAAAAGGTGATGATGGCTGTTATTCGAAAAGAATAACCGTTAGCATGCTAATAAATTTGATCGATCGTTTCAACACACAGAAGATCAATAAAATTATATTCACTGAATGACCGGTTGAAATGCACTCAATGGATTAGAAATAATTACTAATTAAATAAAGCATTTTCCAAAAATTAATCTTCACCTGAGCTCGGAAAAAAGCGCAATTTATTTTCCAACACACACACACACACACACACACACACACACACACACACACACACACACACACATCTATATGTATATATTTAATGTTTCAAATTAGTTGTCTTGTGCTATTGATAAATGTAGCATAGTCCATATTTATTTTGATGTTATATTATTTTCTTCGAGAGTACTTTCGAATGTTTTATATTTAATATTAAAGACCAACCAACACAACAAAGTAAAGCCGTCAACGCCCAGATTATCTGGACAGAGCAAAAAAAATGCGACAAAAAGTCAGCACTCATTAATTTTTTTTGAGGACACGTGGCACAGTAGATAAAGGCGTTAGTTAGATCCAGGGATAAGATCCAAAGAGTGTGAGTTCAATAGCTGGCTAAGTGGAGAACTCTCAGGGGGAAATTAACAAGGAGATAACTGATAACTGACATCTATTAAATATGAAAAGTGGAACTAGAACAGTCTACCCCAGTGATCGAAATAAAGAGTTCAGTTCGACATTCCAACCACCTGAAGAATGGTGGAGCGTATAACAGCCGAAACGTTGTAATAAATATGGCGACAAAGATGAGGAAACTAGTCCAAATAATGTAAATAATGTAGAATATCTTGAAATTTCCTAAAATTAAATAATAGTGTGTGTAGGAGAAACCTATGCAAAAAACAATTCGTCTAAGATCTAAAATAAATATTTAAAAAATAATTTTATTCATTTCGTAATAACATCTTGAATGTTTCATGAAAATCAGAGACATATCTGCTTTTTGTAAGAATTTCCAAATCAATGTTTTTATCACGGAAAAATGTTTAAATTTGCCATACAATTATATTGGCCCACGTTGATGCCAGAAAAACAAGTTTTTAACCACAATTTCGAAAGTTCCAAAATAGCTTAAAATAAATTACACATCAAAAAATCCTTTCCGTAAAACGACTTTTTAAGTTTTTGGATTTTTTTATATATATATATATATATATATATATATATATATATATATATATATATATATATATAAGAACTCATGTTCGTCTGAAGGCATAAAATAAACATTTGATTAGGAACTTTGAAGTGGGATGATTTATATGCTTTTATTCACCTGCTTTGCTTTCTGGATACATACACCTGGACTACTCGAATAGCACACCTGATATGGTAATATTATAATGACGATGAAAATAACCTCTGTTTTTCCACCGCCCTCTGCGTGTCCCCCCTGTTCCTAAATATATAATATGGAATACACAATGACCTACTGATTCAGAATCGTGTTTATTGTCCTTTACGCTTTGTGCGATCGCCCTAAAGATTGCATGCGGACATTAAACTTTAAGTCACGAAAACATCGAAAGCTAAGTATCATTTTATCACGATTAATACTGTTTATTACAAAACAGAGCATTTACTTAAATATTTGTATCTATAAAAACAATGTATGAACATAAAAATGTCTTAAAATAATTGTCGGGCTTTGTCCATTTCATAATGTGTGACGTCGTTTGTTTATATTTGATACGCATTGAGCAGATATGAATGTACATGAGAGATTCCTGAAAGATTGAAATTTAAATACAGTAAATTCGACATTGGTAACCGAACGCTCCTCTGTGGCTAAATCGGTAAAGGCACGTCAACCTAAATTTCTCGGACATTCAGGCCGGTAAATGTTGCTTAATACTGTTTATTATAAAACAGAGCATTTACTTAAATATTTGTATCTATAAAAAGAATGTATAAACATAAAAAAATGTCTTTATATATAATTATTTTTTTTTATAAAAAATAATCATATCTGCTCTACTTTGTATTGAGCACTCTTTTAAAATAGTAATTGTTGGTTATTGGAATTCATTCCGTATACACCAATTATATACTTATATATATATATATATATATATATATATATATATATATATATATATATATATATATATATATATATATAGAGACACACAAATATACCCTATATATATGTGTGTGTACTGGCATATGCTATATATATATATATATATATATATATCCAGTTAAGATGATAACGAATAGAGTACAATTGCAACGCTCATAACATTTGATTTAAAAAGGGCTCAATACAAAGTAGAGCAATATTATTTATTACCCTACAACCACCACTTTTTCTTTTTTTGCAAAAAGTGGTTGTTAATATTTTGCTTTCGAATCTGAACAAAATCGTTCAGTCGCTAGTAATTTACAATCTCCTGATAAAGTGCATAGATACGCATTGAAGCACGACTTCAACTGCGTTGAAATTTTTATATATTTTTGTTGTAATATCTAAAATAAATACACACACACATATATATATATATATGTGGGTTTATGTGTGTGTGTGTGTGTGTGTGTGTGTTCTCGCGGGTTGCGTAAGAGACAACCTCATCTGTTAGAATCGCAAGCAGGTTGTGTGAGTTTTACCAGAGTTAGCTTCCAAAAACACCTTGATTACAGTTTCTAGAATGTGGTGGATGTCATCTGAGTCAGTGTAAATGCGCATAATACTGTCTATACTTCTAGGAAATAGTGTAGTATATCATAAGGTCTTAATTTCCCTAAAGGGTGATATTCTGGTGCTATCCAATTCCTTGGATTTCAGAACTACGTCACATATATTGGATTCCTTTTAATGCTTCCCTTCCTATTGATTATTTAACAGATCTTTACTTATGTGCTTCTAATCAGATTTTATTTTTCGTGATATTAAAAAAAAATATGGATGGCAAGTCTTTTATTCTCATTTTTCGACAATGGCAACATTGGGGGAAAATTATTTTTAATTCATAAGCGACTCCAATGTGTAGAACAAAGAAATAAACTTATTGAATAGCAAAAGAAAAGTCATATTTTGTATTCCGAATAGGGGACGTTAAAATGAACAAGAAGGAGGCTATTTTGAAAGGCAAAATAGAACATAATTACGCAACCAGATTTGGATGAATCGCGACATACCGTGATTCGAATTAAAGCCAGAAAGTTGATGCTCTTGGAAATTAATAGTTAATCGTACGCAATTATGCGAACTCATAAGGTACGAATTAAAAAGCACCCTGTCGAATATATTGAAACAAAACGGATAATAAAATGTCGACCAGGCGAATTCAGGCAGATGCGGAAATTGATTTGTTCAAGCCGATAGTCGATTTTTGATGCTGTGAAAAAATTGAAACGCATTTATTTTAATTTTGCTTTCTATTTCATTACGAGCTTTTATCCCCGCCTCCTCCCAATTTCTTGCATAATTATAATCCCCGAATTAAATTAAAATGCTTCGTACATGTGTAAGCGAATATTAATTCGTCACCGCTTCATTACATTATATATTTGCTGTGAACGCTTAAAATATGAATATATTCAGACATTATATAAAATGATCATTTTCATAATTACTAACACTTTTTCTTCTAGATTCCCAGAATTGAAAGATCGATTTGCGAGTGGTGAAATTGAGAGCGCATCGGAATGAATGATCGGAGATCGAAATCCAGTTGGATTCGTTAAATTCACTTACTCGCAAATACTATTGGGATAAATATGGATTCATCTAACCCAACAGCTATGGGTTAAATATTAGAACGGAGATCTGGAGAAATAAATTGTTATTCTGAAAAATCTTTCATCTTTGACCACCAGTTTATCGGTGGTAGAGAAAAATGACCTAATGCCCATCCACTGGTTGAACGGTGGCTAAATACTTATATCTATTTTTATATCTAAAACATTACATACCAATTATCTACGAATTTTTGACTCAGGAACTCAGGCAGAAGAGTTAAAATTGTTCAAGAACGCCGGGCTCAAAGATTTAAGGCAATAATCCCTCCTAAACAAAAAATAAGAATATAAAAGAATTATCCTCATAATCCAAGATAAATTACAGTTTAATAACCCACAAATGCCGTAAAAATAATTCAAAAACCTGATTCAAGAAAATTAAGAAAGTAAACACATCAAAATGCGGTATTAAGTAAAGGCTTTTTATTTTTTCGAAATCATAGACTCCATAACATTTAATTGTGAAACGCATCAGTTTTTGAGAGTTTAGTAGGAAATATATCATACCCAGTATCACAATGTGACAGTTCTCTGGTCCCTAGAGAATAATCTACCTACTGAAGTTTAAATCATGATTTAAACATACGGTTGATGGAAGAAAGGTTAATATCCAGATCAAATGATTGCTATTGTTTCTCAACAGGTCCCTTTCACTCTACTTCAAATAGAGAGAGATCTAAAGCTTACACTTGACGTCATTAAAGTTACGGCTACATCACGTTGAAACACCGTTTCTCCTACGATCACCGAAGTTAAGTAACGTTGAGCCTGGTCAGTACCTAAATGGGTGACTGCTTGGGAATGCTGTATGCTTGAATGTGCGGCTAGTGTAATGGCTCGGAATTGGAGAACAGAGTTCGAATTTTAGTCGAGTTCGTTTAAATCATTTACGCACAAATACCTTTGGTAAAGGTATAGAACCACCATATGTTCCTCAGCTATGGGTTAATCAGTAAATCATTATCGCCAAAATCGTCTTACGATCTAAAAATATTTTCTTACTTTAAATAATCTGAAAAAAGTTGATAAGCCGTAAAAAAACGATATTAAAAAAAAAATGTCTAACAAAACACAGTGAATCAACTTTCTTAGCAGCTGAGCTAGCAATGGATTCAATGTATCTAATGATATTGTTTTCAAGTGCTATATGAGAGAGGGGAAGGAGTTATGTAGTTATAAACAGGGAAGCTATAGAAAGCAAAATTGTATAATGAATACTAGTTTCAGATCTTTAGTTACCATCAGATTATATGGCGTGTTGATTTTTATGTACACTTTTTTCATTGGAGTCTTTTTACAACACTTTTTCCTTTTCGCTCTCTTCACATGAGAGTGCACACACGCGCGCACACACACACACATATGGGAAAAGAAAATGTAAATTTGAACATATCAGAACAAATTTAAGAAAAGTCTATGAGAAAGCGTATTTTTTTTTCTGTATAACGTGTTTCGTTCTTTAGGACATCATGAAACAAAAGGTAGTTTACATTGATTGCACATGCATGCGCAAGAAGGAGAGTATACATACATACATACATATATATATATATATATATATATATATATATATATATATATATATATATATATATATATATATAAAGTATCTCAGATTGAGTGTTGGTGATAAAACAGTGCTCGATATAAAATAACAGCAAAAATAAAGATACATTTTGTTCTTCACCGGTAGCATCAATTTGGCTTCAGACTTCAGCACTTGACAATTGCATCAGCCATGAGACTCAGAATTTAGCTACCACTATATATTTATTATTATTATTATTATTATTAGTAGTAGTAGTAGTAGTAGTATTAATGTCTTTATATATATATATATATATATATATATATATATATATATATAACACAAAGACATTAATACTATATTAGTGTTTAAGTTTTTTTTATTATATCCTTACTCTGTCCCGGACATTGAGTTCTACCTGGATTCTATCCTCTTGATTTATTTTTTATACAAATATATATGCATGTGTATTTATGTATGTATATATATTTATATATTTTAGATATATGATTTATGTATGTGTATATTTACCACTAACATTACATATATATATATATATATATATATATATATATATATATATATATATCATTTGTCTAAATTTAGTGAAATCAACGTGCTTATAGATGAACGTATCACAAATAAAATAAAATTATATTAAGAACAGATTAAGTAGATGACGCCAACATTTTATAAAGGACCCAGTTCAAAGAAAAATTTCAAATTCTGGATTCTATTTTAATAAAAGAGAAGCAGACGACTGTAGGGTTAGGGTTAGTCTTACTCCAGAGAGGACCGTATATTGAAGTCTGTTTAATATTAAAATAACACACACACTTGAAAATTTCAGTTTTACCGTATACACCCACACACACAGACAGACACATTCATACATACACACACACACATACATACATACATATATATATATATATATATATATATATATATATATATATATATATATATATAATTATGTATTTGAGCAGTAATCCCTTTTATTAAAAACAACTGCCAAGGTACAGTGGTAAAGTCTTTAATTTTGCAAATGTTCTTATAATTTGCTTCTTTTCTGAACGTAAAATATGTAAAAATTTCCCAAATTGTTTCTTCAAGCGCTTTCGGCTATACACTGAGCCATTATCGAGGATGAATTTTATTTTATTTTTACTTTTAACTGAATGTATGGCTTATTTTGTGCATGTATCTAGAGGCCTAGGAATGTTTTATTTTCCAATAACGGTCAGCAAATTGTGACCGTGTTCATAGTTGATATTATTGAGTGCTGGCTTTTTCTTTTTTATTTATAATTCTTCCATTATTTTAGCATTTTTACATGTAGATGAGGATATTGTATTTGTATTATCAACGATTATGTTGCAGATAGAGATAGTTAGGTTTCCATGTGTATTTAAATGATGTCTAACTGAGACATGGTTAGAAAGATGCAACGTGAGTTTTCTTGTGAGGCATGAAAGGATATCCAATATAATTATTTATGAATTTGGATTGATCAGGAATACAATTCGTTAAGAGACAGTACTTTGTCAATCGTTTCTAATGAAATTAACACACACACACACTTATACACACACACACACTTATACACAGACGGACACACACACACACACATATATATATACAAACATACATACATATAAATATATGTATATATACATACATATATACACATACATATATATATATATATATATATACATAAACATATATATATACATGCATATATATATATACACACACACACATATATATATATGCTCACGTATATATACATACTTATACATGCATGCATATATACATTCACACATATATGTACACATACATATATATATACACACACATATATATATATATATATATATATATATATATATATATATATATATATATAAGTAAATAAGGAACAAGTAGGTAATCATAAATATTTTTTTACTATTCATCAAGCACTGCTAAGATTGACACAAAAGATAGGAAGGTGAGGAGACCCATAATCGCACATGTCCTGAATAGATACGACATATAGAAGAAGAACATGAATACAAAAATAAACAATTTTCGATTTGGTGCAATTACGTGCAATTACGTATGTATCCATTCCTTATAGACCTCATCATATGGCCAGTCACACATACTATGGCCCACCCAGTCGCCAAAGAGAATTCCTATCAATATGAAAATCTATACTTTTGGCTCGTGAGAGACACAGATAAAAAAAATCTCTTCAAATAAGAGAAAACCTTTCTTTCCCGGTAAATCTTTTGTGTGAACTTTCAAATCCCGTCTGAATTATTGGTTATTCTTTGGAAATTGTCTTTCTATTTCCTACTAAAAAAGCAATCGTCTAACTATATATAATTTGGAGTCGATATTTCTTCATGACTAATCGACATCTAATGGGCTTTCTTCAATTCAACATGGCTGCCTGTAGAATTGAGTGGGCAGCATTATTTATACTGAGATGTGACATTTGATAAAGTTGGATTCATTGGCAATTACCCGATTTATAAACGAAACACAGACGAAGGAACCACACCTTCTTTACATAACGCCTTGTATCATAGGAGTAATTTAATTGCCAGACTTAGAAAAAGGAACTATATATTCGACGAAACTGGTGGTAGAATAAGCAACTCTCAAACAGTATTTAAATTTAGAATTTTCTATCTATCTGTTAAACGCATCATTTTTTACAGTCAAGAAAAGGAGACCACTATGATTTTTTCTTGACTCAGTTCATAATAAATTTGCAGACAGGCAGCAAGACGTGATAGGAAGTTCGAGATCATGCTCAGTAACAAAAATGAAGATATGACCATATCAAAAACAGGATTATAGCAGAATGGCCAGAAAAAAAAATTCTTAGAAAAAAGTGGTCATTTTAGGTTTTTTGAGTTTTTTCTCAGATGAAATGAGATTTTAAACAGCGTACATCTATTGCATTGTCAACTATTTTACTTGTACAACATGCAACCCACTCTCATGGTTGGCTATAGTGGGGAATGCAGTTTATAAGTATTACACATTCTAGGCTTCTATAATTCATAAAAATAATGCATCAGTTCAGAAAAAAATATAGATTCATTTTATAGGGATAATTTCACCCAATAATGACTCGTATTTCATAACAAAAATCATAAACAGAAGCTTGTGTTGGACAATAAATCTTCATAAGAGAAAGTAGGTTCTAACAACTAGGAAAAAACAACTTTGCCAAATGGGTCTTCTGATGCGAATCTTATTGGACATAGCCGAACATTAATCAGATCATGAAATAAAACAAGTTACTCGAAAAAAAAATATAAAAAATGATTTGCCTTATTCTTTGAATAGGACCGAGTTAAATATCCCACAAGAGAAATGGCAGCTCCAATAATTACGAAGCCTGAAAAGGAGGATTTAAAAAAAAAATCAGCTAATGGCAAAGCAAAAAAAAATTCTTAAATATTTTTGATCGATGAATAAAGGCTTTTGTGTTAAAATGGCGTGTAGATTTATTTTTCTCCTATTTTCATCTTACTGTGTTCAGTCTTCGCATATATATGTATACATTATAATAATATTCGTGTGTATGTATAGGTGTGTGTATTTATGTGTATTCTTATTCAAATACATGAAAAGTAACAAAAAAATAATTCCAGTTTGTTAATATTTAAATTTTCAAACACATCCCAAAATGAACTTCAATATTTAAAACAATATTGATTCCTTGCTTTCGAGAAATAATCAGCTTACACACACACACACACACACACACACACACACACACAGACACACACACACACACACACATACACACACACACACATATATATATATATATATATATATATATTAGTAATTATACTCGGTTGGTAAAAAATCGGATGTCACAATTTTCAAGTATATCAAAACAAATTGGTATCCGAGTAAAAAAAATTGTAAAAAAAAAAAAGAAACTGATAGAAACATCCAAACTGGGCGAAAAAATCGTCAAGTGCCTTAAATTTTCATTCCAAAGAAAAGAGACCCAAGCGGGTAAAATGCTGAATACGCTAAGCAGAGGAAAGGAATAAAACAATACTTAAGTGCCAGGAACTACCTACTTAGGTTTCACCTAAAAGGATCTTCAGGGTAAGCTGAAACCTACGTAGGTAGATTCTGGCTCTTTAAGATTATATATATATATATATATATATATATATATATATATATATATATATATATATATATATATATAAAATGAACATTGTAGTCAAAACTCAGAGGCGACAGACTGTT